TAAATATAATATTTTTTTTTTTTTTTTTTTACATAACGATATACGATAATATGTACGAAATATATCGTAAATATTTAATTTTAGATAATGATGCATAATATAAAGAATAAAACAATTATTTGGAAATTTGTGGAATCTTTGGAACCAGCACGTCTCGTACATGCAAGAGTCACAAGTATTATAACAGAGGGGAATGAATTTGCACAAGTTACTATCCGTTTCCATACTCAACAGGTTTATATATTTTATAAAATTTTTTTTTTATATACGATATATTTGAAATATTTGAATAATCATATGAATATTTTTTTTCTTAGCTTTTATGCATTTACGATCGATTCGGACGAGTTTTATTAGGTAGCGAAACAGTAAAAAAAGATGTTTTGGATTATATAGTGTTCGAAAAACATTTATCCAATGAATATGGTATTTGGCGAATACATGGCAAGATTATACCAGATTGGATGTCACCAATCGAAATATCATCAAAAACTTATATTTTGCCGAAAGAAGAAAAAGAGTCCTTACCTACCGATAATGCTGTTGAATCAGTTGCCGAAGTAGTACCATCTCCAGAAAAATGGGATAAACAACATGATAATGCAAAAATATAATAATTATTTTACATATAGATATTTATTATTATATTATACTCTTATACTTATTGTTAAATAGAATATTTATAAAATATATATGTATATATATAAATAAACATATAAATCGTTTAGTTTAATACAGAAATTACAAATTTTTCAATAATAATATCTTTTTATAATCTATAAAATATTTTATTAATTTTTGCAATAAAATATCAAGTTTTCAAATACGAGAATTATAAAGGACATTAAGAATCCACTACCGAATATCAATAATATCAAATATATTTGTTCTAAAATAATTGGTTCCGATATTTTTGTTAACTCTTTTTCTTCGTTTTTTGATTTTATCCAACGATATTTCAATAAGTCCATAATACCAACTTCATATAATCTTAGTAATCTATATAATAAAAATAAAAAATTATTTTATCTTCTAGAAAATCAAATAAATTTGCATCATTAAGAAATTATATCAATTTTAATATAAATATTTACCCGATATCAATAGATCTTTTGTATTTAAAATTCAATGAAAGTCCTGAAATTATCCACGAACTAAACAAAGAAAATCCAACTGGATTTAATCGACAAAAGTATATTCCTCTAGCCATTTTTACATCTTCGCTTTCGTATAGCGCGTACAACTTTTCAGATAAACATATCGTTTTATACATTTCCTCAATTGAATTCATAACAATATATCGTTTCAATCGAGATGCTTTTTCGTATACGGAAAATATTTTTTGCTAAAAAAATAAAAATCAAATAAAAAAAAATAAAAATTATTTTTTTAATCTTATTTTCGTAATTTTTTAATTCGTAGCAACATAATTTTTATATTTACATACGCTATGAAATTACATACATCAAAAAGATAATACGGTAGAGAACCATTTAGAGTTAAAATATCGTAAGTACTCTTATCTAGAAGAGAATCTAAATCTTGAAAAGGAGGAATAAAGATAGTTTGCGACATATAGCCTATTAAAAGGGCACCAAAAGCAGTCCTGATTAAACAAGAAAATAGACCCAACCACAATTCCACTATTCTTGAAGATTTGTTCGAATTCTTTGGAAAATAGCCTGTAAAAATTAAAATCTTTTAAAATCGATAATAATTTTTAAACGTTTAAAATTAAATTAAATCCTATATATAATAATAAACGAAAGAAATATAATAAATAAAAATAAAAATAATTTTTGTATTAAAGAAAATATGTCGAAACTTAATTTTTTTATAAACAATCGTTTTTCATTAAATATGGATATGGATTTTTACACATGTATAGGTAATTATTAAATAATTATACAATTACTATAAATTAATTATTATATAAAAAAATTTAATTTTCAATATTTGAAAAATAAGAATTAAAAAAATTAAAATAATTTTTAATTTTCAAAAATAATGAAATTTTAAAAATAAAGTTACATATAAAATTTCAATTTTTTTAATGTTTGATTGTATTATTTTATCTCTATACTAATACGTATCTTCTTACTTTGTCCGCAAATCATGCCAAAATTGTAAAATAAATGATCCCTTAAGTCTGTCTTTAAGTTTTCACGCATAATTATCGAGTTTATCGCTTGAGAAAGATAGCTGCACGTACTTAACAAAAGATACGTAATCAGAATCGAATACCAGACTTTTCGAGAGAATAATTTCAGCATCCAGGTAGGTAAATGTATCACTTCTTGTTGAATGTATAATCGATATCTATATGGAAATTAATATTTATCTGATTATTATATAATATAATTTATTATTTTTTTATGTAAAATAATTTATTTTTTAAAAAATTTATATTATAGAAAATATACATAACATAATCATTATATTCTTTTATCTTAAAAGAATTAAAAGAGATTTTTATCCTTATATTTTCTTTTTTCTCTTTTTTTTTTAACGATAGTTATTAATGTTTCTTAATATTTAACTTGTACGATACTTTTATATATATATATATAAAAGTTTTCCACAAAGATCATAAATCGAAAGAAGAAAGATAAATTGTTTTTATATATATTTTTTTATACTTCTTATTTCATTCGCTATATTATATTTCCGTTGCTATACTCTGCTATATAATTATTTAAATTTATGTTTTATCTTTTTCCATAATCTTATATCACATTCTATAAAAATATTTCAATTTTCTTTTTCTATATATTTTATATATTTTTAATAAATTAAGCATTTATTATTTTTTTCACCTCGTTTTCCATAAAGGTATCGTAAATTGAGAAATTTTGCGTCGTACATTGTACGCTCCCATCTTCGATATCACGTCCGTTTTGTTCTCTTGCATAATTTTTAATAAACCGCGCTCATATTTACCTCGAGAATTTGTAATTCCTACACTCCGGTCATCTATAACAACCGGTATCAATCTGAAATGTTTAATTTTTATTTAAAATCTATATTTCTCTATTTCTTTTTCTCTTTTAATATCTTATATATCAACATTTTATATATCCAACAATCTCTTATAATATCCAACAAGAAACTTTGCATTACGTGAAATTTAAATATTCAGATAAAATATTCCAGATCTCGCCTATTATTCCAGTGATTCGTGTTCCATTAGCTTCGGTGATGACCATGTTCAATTCCTAAAGAAATATCATACAGTAGTAATAATTATAATTAAAATGTAAGTTTTCGAAACAAGAAAATATTTTTACAATATTCTATGAAAAATAAGATTTGTCAAGTTTGTAGTTAGAAATTTCCATTTAAAAAACAATTCGAATTTTCTTTTTAAATGGAAATTATTATTATCAAAGTTTCTTCGATCACCTTTATATGGAATATTTTTCATATCTATTTTTCCAACCTTGATCATATAAAAAAAAGATAAAAATTTGCAATAGAAATTTATCAAAAAAAAAAAACAAAAAGAGAAAAATAATACTCTATTAAAAATTCATTAAAAAAGAAAAAAATAAATAAAAGCTTGCAATAGAAATTTGCATATAAAAAATTTAAAAGAAAAACCTTCAATGTAAATATGTACAAAAATAATCTTTTTATAAAATCATATAGGAAAGAAAAATAAAAAAAAACTTATATAAATATTACAATAAAATTAATAATAAAATTATATATAAAAAATTTGTATAAATATTATTTTATTAAAAAATTTATATATAATATTATAATTAAAAAAAAAAAAAAAAGAAACATCGTTTTCACCTCATAGCAAGCAAATCTAAACCTTCTTCCTTGAAAAGTAGTTATTTCTTCTTTTCGACTTTGGTTTTTTATCTCATAATCGATCTTTGCAAAAGTTGGAACACTGAAAATGGGTACAAAATTCTCGAATTTCTTGTTCCATATTACACCATTCACGGAATGAACAGGTTTTATGAATACGTGAATCGTCACGAATAATAACATTAGCTTTTTCATAAAGTAAAATTTTCTCGAATCGTTTTCTTTAAACAACGAGAACAGTATTTCAGGATTCTCTTATTTAAATTACAATAGTTAAGGCGTTATTATAGCGATGTTATTCGATATTAAGACAATATCTTGTGTTTCAATGCATTGTAATTATCGTTTGATCGATGGAATCATTTATTTCATGTTTTTTTATATTGTCGTTTGTTATAATATCAGTTGATGGAATTGTCATCTCATATGGTGTCTAAACACGTATTTATTCTATTTTTAATAAATTTAATTTTTAAGGATTTAAACAATCTAAAGTATCGAAGAATAGAGGAGAAAAGATTTTTGATGAAAATTTTGGAAAATAATTACACAATACTTTTATTTTGCTTTCATACGTTAATTCATGATTAATAATTCATAATAATTGTTGCATTCTTTTTGATATATTAAAAATCTAATTTGATATATTAAATCTTTCTTTTGTGTTTAAATAACAATAGTAATAATGATAAATATTTATAATAATATCGCGTAATTACATTGGAATAATTCAATAATTTTTTTTTTAACAATAGAAAATTGTAACGAGAAAGAAAATTTGGTGGTAAATACTTTGTATTTTATCTAGATAAATTTTATAAACAAAAAAAGTTAATTTGAGAATTAATGATAACAATTAATAAACAAAGAAAAGTTAATTTGAAAATTTAAAGAAAAAAAAAATTTTTTTTTTCTTCCTCATAGTTTCTCATGTCTTTTAATAAATTTAATAGTCCACATAATTACACGTTATGATATATATATATATTAAATTCTTTTAAAAACTAATTGCGCGTCATATATCGAGTTATAACTTCAAATAATCAGAATAAAAATAACTGTATATAATACAAAATATTACTAACAAAAGGTTACATTAATTGCGCTACTAAATGGCATCGTGATTCGCGATCTCGCATCGATAATAAATATTATGATGTTTTGCTGATAAAAAATCATAACACGAAAATGCAATTACGATCTAGATCATCAGTGAGAAATGTATTTTTATAATTTTATGACTCATTATCACGTCGATAGAAAATCAATCCGATAAAATGTTATTTTAACTTGAAACAAAGCTCAAATATATATATATTTTAATTTGAATATAATTTAACGAAAATTTCAAAAACATAAAAATATATGAGATATATGTATATTGTACATGATCGGTAATCACGTTAAGTATAAGGAAAACAAATAATGAAAAAAATAGAGATAAAGTAATCGAGAAATTGCCATTTTTAATATGTTTTAGATCAAGCAAATAGAGAAAACAAACAAGGAAAACAAATAATAAAAAAAAGAATAGAGATAGTAAAACAATTGATCACTAACGTCATCTCTCGGATGCGACATCTCTCGTTAAAAGTAAAATAGATTCGACTATCAGTGCTATCTAAAATGCTGAAAACATCTTCCTTAAAAAACATTTAAAAGAAAACGCTAACTTCCAATTCTGAATTTATTTTATCCTATTTTTGAACAATTTTATTTTAGTACAAGAAAAATAGCGCTGATGCCCAATTCTCGTTCCATTTCTACCTTCATTGATCACATAAAGTATAAAATAAATCCAAGGATAGATGTATCGAAATAGATAAATCATAGAACGTATTTTCATTTCGAATTATAAATATCAGAGTGAATCCAATAAACAATACATATCTTAAAAAAAA